CAGCTAAAGACTGTGCCCTCTTGTCCTACTGCTGGTTGCCTGGGAGAAGAGACCAACCCCCACCTGGCTACAAGCTCCTTTCAGGTAGCTGTAGAGAGTGATGAGGTTTCCCCTGAGACCTCTTCTCCAGGCTGAACATCCCCAGCTCCCTCAGCCAGTCCTCATAGGGCTTGTGCTTCTTACAGGCATTTGAGGTTGTCTCTATTTTTCAGGTGAGGGACCAGAGCACAAAGTAAATCCTACTGTTAGATATAAGTCTGTGATAGAGCAAGAACCTAAAATAATTTCTCCTGCATTTTAAAGTTCATGGTGTAAATCCTGGACTGTTCTGTCGACAGAAAGGAGGGGTAGGTGAGAAGACAACATTTGCAATACAGTCTGGAGAAAATTAAGTGGGAAGGAGTCCAGTGAGATTTATGCACAGATCCACTCTTCCTTGATTCTGTAACATGCATCTCAATGAATCTCTTTTTATAATAACTTACAAATGATCTAAACCAGCAGATTTTTTTTTTTCAAAGACTCTTTTTGTTTCACCAGTTAAGTAATCCATGAGTCATTTGAAATCTCTTCATTGTTGTCTTCCAGGATTTTAAGCTAATGGGGCTTGTACAGTATGGCTCATTTGACTAGAATGAAGCTTGAGTTACTCTTCAAGAAGAAAAGGTAGAGGAAATTTGATGAACATGTGTGTTAAGCATTCCAGCCGTTCTCCTTCTAGTGTATCTCTTCAATTCATTAGGAAAACAAAAAGGAGAAGGCATTTTTTGCAGTTCATGTTTTCTTTGAGTATGAAATTTGACTTGTGAATGAAATTTTCATCTCAAAGAATCTTCATTAACATCCTACTATATTAATTTTAATGTTTCTTATATATTAATATCTACTTGTAAATATAATCTGGAGAAAACAACTAACAATGAGCAATATTGAATCATAGGTATGAGTCAGCAGTGGAGAACTGTATGATAGTGAAGTTTAGACGGGCAAACATTTGGTTCATGTCTCTTTTCGTATCTGTTAAATTTCTTCTTCTTTCTCAATATTTCTGTTGGAAGATGTCCAGATCCAGTGTTTAGATACAGTTCCAACTTATGTAAAGCATAGATTTATTTTAGCTCAAATATAAAAAACTTACATTTTTAAGGATGAGACCCAAATTTACTCAGAGCTTAGGGGCTTTGGGAGTTTTATTTCATCAGGATACATATCTGTACCACTTGGACTTTTTCCTATTTTTTGATCTCACAGTATAAAAACAAGCTAAAAATACCTAATTATGTCTGTGCTGTAATATCATTGTATGATTTTGAGGATTGTTATTTGAACATGCTGTTTTTAGAGTGGCAATTGATTTTTCCTTAAAGAAAAAAAAAACTATGACACATTTCAACAGATGTACATACTTTCAAAGAAACTGTCACCCAGCCACAAGCTCTGTCAGGCTTGGGTTGTGTGATGTCTACACAGTCATGAGGAATCATGTCATTCCACCATGTGATGGTTCTGTCACCTATCACCTGAATACTGGAAGATGTTTTTCCTATGAGTCCTCCACTGAGTTCTGCTCTACAAGGAAACATCCATATGATCTGTAGCCTGTAGTGCACAGGTGGATACCCAGCAGGAGGGGGCACCCTATATATCTCTTGCTGTATCCCCTGCAGTGTCTCACAGAAAGTCAAAATTCTAACTAACTGCATCTGGGTCACTTAGAACTGCAGGTCAGGCTCATCTTTGCAAAATTAATCTTTACACTTCTTGCTCTGGTTTATAGAGTTTTGCTGTTGTGCTACCACTGCAAATAAACCCTGCTGTAGGAGAAAGTTTTCCTCTTCTCATCAGGTGCATGTGTATTCTCTTTCCATTATAATTTGACATATCTTTTAATGAATTTTTAGGGAGGAAAGAGAATGTGTTTGTACTGATAAACACAGATGTCTCGTGGGGTTTTTTTCATCTCCTTAACACTTTGACACAGCAAAAGTTTGGTTTCTAGCAGACAAAAAAATCTCTTTATGACTGGAAAACCATAGGACTTCTCCTCTCCTTAATTTGGTACAAAACACATTTTGTAATATATTGAAATAGGTATGCACTGAGATCCCAGAATGCATCCTCCCCAATCCTATCTGCAGCCCAGTAGTGCAATTACAGGGAACTGTATTCTAGCTTTGTGCTACAAAATGTTAGTTCTTCATATATGCAGAGACAGGAACTTGGAATTTATATCTCAAGTAAAAATGTTGGGGTGACCTGTTTCCTCTGTGTTATAGCAGATGTAGAAAACCAATAATTTTGCACAGTGCTTCCCTTGACTGATGTCCTTGAACTATGTCCTCTTGTGCATAAATGTCTCAAAGAGTAACTGACATTCCTGGGCTACCACAAATCTGGCCTATAATAAAAAAGGTTCAGAAGTCTGAGTAGATTTCTCCATAGATCCACAGATCTGCTTCCAATCTGGGTCTTCCTGCTTAGGCCTGGTGTACTTTTAGGGAGATGTGTTAACCTATTGTCTCAGGTTTGCACTGGATTTTTTTTTCTCCCTGAGATTGCTAACTTGTAGCAGAAAATAAAAGATTTTTGACTATATAGTTTTTCTGCCTTTGAAAATGCCATAGTAACCTTAGTGCACTCTTATTTTTTTTTAAACCTCATTCTTTTCTTGCAGTACTTTTAAAAAGTCATGAGAATTAGAAGCGGAAGTTTTAGATTGGAACTTTTTGTCTTGGAAATGGCCTTTTCTCTTTGGGCTTCCTGCCCATATTCTTTTCATACCTTGATACAGTTGCTGCCACCATCCCTCCTGCGGTGTCACTCTCCAGTGGTCCCATTGTATTAATCCTGGAACTGCCTCGTCAAAGTAAATTGAATCATCTTTAAGGTTCAGAGAATTATTTCAGGATGTTATTATTGGGCAAACCACTGACCTGATATTCCTTCCTCAAAGAGAATAGACTAGGTTATGTTTCCATCATACATACTTGGCCTGCATGATTTCAGTACATCTGCCTGAAGTCAGTATTTTAGTCTTTACTTTAATTTCTTTTCTGTCGAACACCTCTGGCAAATTAGCACCATTGTCCATCCTATTCCCCTTAGGATTTTAATTAGTTCTGTGCTGAGCACCTAGTACACTGCAGTTGTATGTATTTGATTTCTACATAATTATTTGTCAAAACTGAGTGGTAATGATTCCATTAGCTTCTGTAGTACATTGCTGTATATCTGCAGGTGAAGCAAAATTGAGGGGGGAAGGGGGAAACCAGATCAAATCTGTTCAGATATCACTATAAAATGGTTAAATTCTCAGCTTAGGCTGTGAGTGTGTTCTGTGTGTGAGCAGTTGGGTTTTTTGACTGCTAGAGAAGGAAGAAAAATGAGGTAAACGTGAACCCTTCTTTGCTTGATATCCCTTAAGACCTGATCCCAGCATATCATCCTCTGCCATCCACTATGCTTAGTGATACCAAAGACATAGAAAGCTGCTCCATGACCGCAGCTAAAAGTTCTTGTATCATGAGGAAAACTGGATGTGTGAAAGCACAGCAAACACCTCTGGCTTCGTACAACGTACCCTTTAACTTAGGTGACATCATTGGTGGGACTGGGACGCAGGTGGGCTGTCATGGCAGCTTCCTGCAGGCACCAGCCCCTCAGGGACTTATCTGCCTCATGTGCCTTGGAGGATACCTCAGGCAGTGGGCTACCAGTCAAGGTGTACACGCTTGGCCAGGGATTTGGTTTGTCACTTTTCTCTCTCCTTGTATTCAGTCACATTCCCACAAACTTCAGCAGTGACTCCCCTGGGCAAGGAGAGCCCACCTCAGAGTAATGAACGTGGTAGAACTGGGACTATAGTGCAGAAATCACTGCACAGGCAATCCTCAGTGTCACACTGGGAGGGACAGAGGTCTCCTCTTTGTTCTCTTAGATGTGAGAGCTGTTGCATGTTCCCAGTTGTTTGAAATATGCAGAGGTACTGGGCAGGGTACCTTCAGCCCTGTTTGTGAAGGACATTGTTATTGCAGTGAAAAGAAAGGGAGCGTAGAGAGTGAGTCCTCACACCAACTCTCTGCCCTAGGGAGCGCTTCTTGGTGAAGAAGGGACAAGTGCCTTACACGTGTCTGAGTCCCTTTCCAAATGCAAAATGAATAACTGGAAATATGGAGAGACTGCATGATACAATTGAATTCTAAATAGAACAAGCAAGGTTTCATTCAAAGAGATTTAAATTTGATTGTGACTTCCTTTGAATTTCACCAACATTGTCTTATACTAACATTTTACTTGTCTGTTCTTTTTATAATTGACATTGGCAATACAAATGAGTAGCATGGATGCCATTTTTCACTGCAGATTTTTCAGGAGTATGAAACAAATTCATCAGAGTGCTCACATTTGAAATACTCATAGATACGTGTGTGTGTGTGTGTGACATACTGATGGCCAAGCACTGACTTTGGTTTTATTCATTTAAAACTCCTCTAAAAAAGAGCTGGAGGAGTGGATGGGTACCTTTATCAAGTACTTATTCTGGTAGAAGAGGTCCAATGTGAGTCTTCCAGATCTCAGGCCAAATTCTTCTCTTATGCAACAGCAAGCTCTGAAGTCAGCTCGTCTTTCTCTGCATAGCTGAGGAGGTGCTGTTAGTTCTTGCCAATGAGCCTGTGCTCTTCATAGCTCTTTTTTCCCACCTTGTGGGTGGTGATGGAAAGGTGCACGTTTTGGGCTTCTGTCACTGCACAGAAAAAAAACCCCTAGCACTGCATAGGACTGCAAAATACAGACAGAACTAACCATGTGTTTTTCAAACCTAGAATAATATACTTAATAATGGCAGGTTTCTTTTAGCTAATGCACCCTGAAAAGAACAAAAGCATGGCACAGAAACATTGAAAATGGATAGTTACTGCCACAAAGTGGGGCTTTATTTGCAGAGTTTCAATGCTGAACCCTTTAGAAGAGAGCACTTACAGATGTTTGATTTCTTTCAGGTCTTCAGATTTTGGGACATTATACACAAAGTTGAATCTGCAGCCTGGGATTGCCACTGTTATTGACAATTTCTACATTTGTCCCACCAACAAAAAAAAGGTATGTGGCAAAAAAATGACTTTTTATAGTGCAGGTGAGATTCTGCAACTATGTAAAGTGTGTTTTACAGGTTTCAATATTTAGGGGAGTGGTTTTCACAATGTTGCAGATCACCTTAGGTGCATTTGTGACATATGGAAGGGGGATATTTATTGTTCCTGAATAATATAGAAAGAAAAAAGTGCCTTGATGATCACGGAAAACTTTTGAGGGCATGGACTCCTGGCAATCAAGCTTTTGTGGAGTTTTCCATGGAAATGAAAAAGGAAATGCCGTCACTTTTCACACATCTCAGCAGATTCTGGGACTAACACTCAGCCTCTTCATCCTTTATGCACAAGTTTCATTGCATGTCCCTTAATATAAAGTATAGGGATTGGGCAGGCTGTCATTGAGAATGTTGTTTATCCTGTGTAAAACCTTAATTAAAAAAAACAAAACCCCTCTCCTTGAATCTCTTTCTTAAAAAGTGTTCCTGCACCATTACCAAACCAAACAGCTTTTTGTGGAACCTTGGAAGATTGAGTGGACTTTATAAGTGAGAGCAAAATTGACCCATTGAGTGTAGTGACAATGGATGTTATATTAGAAGCAACAGGAAGTGTGATTATGAGAAAAAAACCCACAATAGAAACCCTTCTGTGTTGGCAAAATGCCCATGATTTGAACAGCAAGAATTGTGAAATATAATGTGAATAACACAAGCACAGTAGGTCTTTCATGAAATAAGGATTTTCTCCTGATAAGGGCCCATTAACTCTCATTAATACAGGAGCACTGATTTCAGGCAGAGGCCACTGGCTGGAAGGACAATGTTAGTTGTGTTTGTCTGTCTGTTTTGTTTAATGAAAAATCAGTAGAACTCAGTGAGACCGCCTGAAGGATTAAGTACATATTTTATTTCTCTTGAAATTGTCACTGGAGTTTTTGTGCCCAAACTAGGCTGTCTCTGAGCTCAGTAATATATTTTTAATCTGCTGCAAAGCCAGAATTTTTATTTTTTTTTTGTTTGTTTCTTGAAGTGGAACTACCACCAAGTACAAAGTTTCTTCAGACTGTGTATCTTAGACATACAATCTACTGATGGTTTCAAGTTCAAAAGAATAAAATCAAAATCTTTACCCATCTCAGTTTCTTGAATAAAGACTAAAAGGATGAGCTTGATAAGAGCAGCCCTGTGGAGGATTTTTACCAGCTTAACTAGCTACAATATCAAAGCCTGCCCAAGAACAGGGGGTCAGTGACAGTGTGATGGTGCCAGTTTTCTGACAAAATAAACAGCAGTAAGATCACTGCTAAATTTCAAACCTGAAGGACACATGCAAATGTACATACATTCATACATACATGGTACAAAAATGATGAAAACATTGGAATTACTGCTTTAGCCAACAGCTTCAGGCTGGTCTTGGAGGTGTTGCAGTCACACAGAGAAGGTAAGAGGGAAGTTGTCATGCTGTAAGAGCTTTGTCAATTGTAATGGGAAATTTTAGGTACTAGATGTTTGATTAGGACACAAAGACTACCAGCTGACCTCACCAAAGTTATTTAGAATATTGGAAGAACATCCCTGTCCATCCATTTCCACACAGTTGCACTGGGGTGGAATAGACTATTCAGAGTTCTGAATCCCTTTTCTAGGCCATGCAGAAGTCTCATTCATTCCTGATGTTACCAGCCTTCAGATCATTATGGTGTGGGTTTTCTTTAGCAGTTCACATCTTTTGAAATGTGCTCGAAAGAGACACTGGATTGCTGACTGTGCATACTGGAACTGAGCATGCACTTTAAATTTAAAGCACAAGTAATTCCACTTAGCATTTAGGGACTGGGAATATGCATGAAAGCAAAGATAAGACATTGATGGGGATTTTTTAATAGTTTGCATATTAAACATTGTTCTATGCTTTCATTACATTTACCCATTGTAGTCCTCATCTGTGGAAGAACTGATTTTGCCCATTTAATGCTCATTATTTCCACCTCAATCTCATCAGAGCATTAACCCCACCTGATTTTAGCTCTGTGCAATATAGATATCTGGTCAAGCTCTCCTCCTCTAAATGAAAGGAGAAATATGCAGGTACCTCCAGGCAGTTCATACTGTTAAAATTATAGCTCTTTGTACTTATGAGAATAAGGCTGAATTTTCTTGTGAAGTTCCTGCTTTTGTAACTATTTTGTGTCTGAACAGAGTCTAACTGTGGCTTCTTACAAAGATATACAAGAGATGTGTCATGGCAACTAAGTACCACACTGCCACTCGCTCACTTCATGTGTCAATTCCCTCAGGACCTGCAGATGCATCTCATCAGGTCCCATGGACTCGTGTACCTTCAGGTTCCTTAGATGGTCTCAAACCTGATCTTCTCCTACTATGGGAGGTTCTTCATTCTCCCAGTCCCCACCTTTGCGTTCTTTGACTTGGGTGGTGTGGCTGGAGCACTTGCCAGTGAGGAGATAAACTCCATCCTTGCCAAACCAGCATAAGATGGGACATTTTTTGTTCGTTTGCTTTGGAGTGCAATTAAATTCAATATCTGCTAGAAGACTCCAGTCTAGTTCTTGGGTTGACATTATTTCTTCAGTTCACATCTGCTGGTATACCAGCTCCTGGAGTGACCAAGATGTCACTCACTCTGTGAGCTGCAGTTATGCTGTACAGAGCAATGGACTTAGAAGTGGGCTTTATGAAGCAAATGTGAACATGTACTGTAAAATTTCAGTCCCTATGAATTACCCTACTTTGCTTTTTCTTAAGATGCCTTGAAAAGAGAAAAAGTTGATACTCCTTATCTTCCCTACCCCATTGTTTGGGAAATTGAAATTCAACAGAATTATAATGCTGTTGATGAAGAAGTACATGAGCAGATGTGAAAAGTACAGCAGCATCCTTTTCGCATAGTTCTGCATGGAAAAGGGATTGTATGAAAAGAAAAAAAAAAACTAAAATTATAAGGTAAAATACAGGAATGGTGAGGACTGTGAAGTAGCTGGAGGAAGTATGGAAATAATTTATAAAACCCACTAAATCCATGCAAAAAGTGGCACATTCCTTTTCCCTCTTAACCTTCTGTGAAAAAGTTGTGATGAGTACTGTTCATAGGTCTAAACGAAGAATCAGGAAGGAGTTGTATCAAGGTCATGGCTACACAATCTTTTGACAGTTGAGGTAAATTCCTTCAGTCTGTACCTTTTTCTGGCTGAAAGTAGCAGAACTCTGATGAAGAATTTGTGTTGCTGCTGTTACCACAGGACTCAAGCTATAAACCCCAGTTTTGACAAGAAATGATGACAAATCTCTGAGGATAGAGCTTTAGAGGGCTTCGTGTATTGCTCTGAATGGGCCTTTCTGGTGAAATCATGGGATGGACTTGTGAACTGTGGCTGTATTATTTGTGATTCAGAGCTGGATTGCAGTCAGTCAGCTGCACAAGTAGAAAACATTTTCACCTACCTGCAAATGACCATGTAGAATCCCCCTAAATGCTATGAAACAATGGAGTAATAGGCAAGGTAACACTGTAATTAGGAGTTCACAATTCCTGAGTATGCATTAATATATGTTTTGCATTCTCTCTGGTTTTAGTGTAATGTAAACCTGCAACTAAAGACACTGAAACTGTTATTCTGATACAGTTTTGGAAAATCATAGAGTAATGAAGGTGAGTTCTTCTGTGATGCTGGCTTCTCCTTTTGAAGCACTTTTTCATTGATCTGTGAAGTAAAATAGTCTTACCCTGTGCAAGCCTTGAAGTGCTGTGCAGTGATAAGGGATGTTCCTGCACTTTAGACAACACATTTTATGCAATTATCTCCTTTTCAGTAATTACTATATGCCAGTAGCATAGGATGGTGCAGGAATCCCATAATGTACCATGTGGGGAAAATAATTTGTATTCTGTTTTCCAAAACAATATTATAATGGTGATTTGGAAGTAATGCACATGGTTTGTGGAGTATGAGATTATGGTTTCTGTGGTGTCAATCTGGAGTTAGGTGAACAAAGTAAATTCTTTCTACAAAAAAAAAAAAGTTAGCAGAACTCAGTTTCACTAAAATATCAACAAAATATTTAACAATTTTTTAGGGCATATATGCTGTTGGATGTAGAAATTACATATTTGCCTTAATTCTGTTTATGTAATGGTGCTGGGGAGGAGTTGAATGAGCATACTGATTTTTTTCCCCACATTCAGTGCATATTTTAATTTTAATTCCTGCTGGTGCAACTGGTGCATCCATTCTTCCTTTTATATGCCTTTGGAAAATAGGCAGCTGAGCAGTTTATATTCAGGCTTTTTATATTAAGAGAAAATAAATGTTGATTTTGCTTACACCAACTTATTAGTTAAATGGGTTGAACACTTACATTTCCAAGCTGTCACAATAACCAATGGCTGCATGTTTTTCCAAACTAAAAGGCAAGATGACAAACGTGCTTAAGTGTTTGACAAACAATGCAGAGCACTTGAGATAGTATTAAGGATATAGGCTATCTTATACAGTATTTTAACACCTGATAATTTAAAATAGTATGAATTACACATCACAAAAGCGTATTTGCCACAGCTATAAAAGCATTTCCCAAGATGCAACTGGCTTGAGCAATGTTTGTAAGCACTTACAGGTAAATGCAGTCCTACATCATTTTGACATTTGTCTTTTAGAGCAGAACAATTGGTAGTAGAAGTTGTCAAAATGCAGTATGACTACATTTACTTGTAAAGAATAATTCTACTCAAGTATCAGTTTCCTTAGAGACCATTCCAGAACATCTGCCAAAATAGAGAGCAGAATTATCTTACACTTTTATTAGTAGTGAACTAAGGAATATTCCTTTCAAGAAGGTGAGTAGTTATTTCAGGAAGGTTTCCCTGTGAAATCACAGAATATGAGTCTGTGTGTTGTGTTCTCTACCATGATGCCTTCTTTCCTTATAAGCAGTGTCACCATTCAGTTTTATTCTCGTGATGCACCACCAGAGCACTGATGTGATC